TTTCTTTTTCCATCTCTCTTCTAGAAGTCATTTGTTTTCTTGCTATGTGTAATTATCTGCAGTATTTATTAAGGAGTTATCGTAGGTTTTTGGAACCAATTCTAGGAATTACAGAGTATTCTGATGGACGATTTGAACCAAAATATGAATATTTGAACATAGAAGTCAGTCCGTGGAGGTTCAGCTCTAAAGGGAAACTGGTTTAAAAGGTTTTCTCTGGTCTCGGGGTTCTTTATTTAGCCGCGTCCATTAGCTTAATCAGGGCTTTTCCGTTTCCTCCCCAGAAATAAAAACCCGGCAGAAGCTCCAGGATTACACACGGGAAACACGTGAGTCCCGTCCAACACCTTCGGATCAGTTTTGGGAATTTCAGTCCCAGGGAATTCCCTGCTTTCTCAAACTTCCTTCCCTATCTCTCTGACTCTGACTGGGGGTTTCCTCCAGAGAAGTTACTGTCACGTTGATGATTATTGTAAAATTGTGTCTACTTTGTGAGTCGCTTTGGATAAAAGCGTCTAAATGCAGAAACAGAAACATAAAAGCTCTCAAATCAGCTTTAAAGCCCCAAAAAACTGCTGTAAAAGCCACAAAAACAGCTTTAAAAGAACCAAAAGGATCATTAAAAGCCCTAAAAAAAGGTTTTAAAGCCCCGAAAAACAGCTTTTAAAGCCTGTAAAAAACAGCTTTTAAAAAAACACAAAAACTGCTGTAAAAGCCACAAAAACAGATTTAAAAGCCACAAAAAACAGCTTTAAAAGCCACAAAAATGGCTTTAAAAGCCACAAAAAACAGCTTTAAAAGCCACAAAAATGGCTTTAAAAGCCACAAAAATGGCTTTAAGAGCCACAAAAAGACCATTAAAAGCCACAAAAAGATCACTAAAAGCCCCCCAAAAACAGCTTTTAAAGACCCAAAAAAACAGAAACAGAAACATAAAAATAATCAGGATTGCTCTGTGATTAGAGGTGACTTATGGCTCTTTTTCACTGGGAATGACGGGAGCCCACGAGTTTCCGGGTTTCCGAGCTTCTGAGTTTCCGAGTTTTGGAGTTTCCGAGTTTCCGAGTGTCCGGGTTTCCGAGTTTCCGATATTCTGAGTTTTGGAGTTTCCGGGTTTCCGATATTCCGAGTTTCCGAGTTGTGGAGTTTCCGAGTTTCCGAGTTTCCGATATTCCGAGTTTCCGATATTCCGAGTTTTGGGGTTTCCGGGTTTCCGACCTTCCGACCTTCCGTGTTTCCGAGTTTCCGATATTCCGAGTTTTGGAGTTTTGGAGTTTCCGGGTTTCCGATATTCCGAGTTTCCGAGTTGTGGAGTTTCCGAGTTTCCGATATTCCGAGTTTCCGATATTCTGAGTTTTGGGGTTTCCGGGTTTCCGACATTCCGAGTTTCCGTGTTTCCGATATTCCGAGTTTCCGAGTTGTGGAGTTTCCGAGTTTCCGATATTAGGAGTTTCCGAGTTTTGGGGTTTCCGGGTTTCCGATATTCCGAGTTTCCGTGTTTCCGATATTCCGAGTTTCCGAGTTGTGGAGTTTCCGAGTTTCCGATATTAGGAGTTTCCGAGTTTTGGGGTTTCCGGGTTTCCGATATTCCGAGTTTCCGTGTTTCCGATATTCCGAGTTTCCGAGTTGTGGAGTTTCCGAGTTTCCGATATTAGGAGTTTCCGAGTTTTGGGGTTTCCGGGTTTCCGATATTCCGAGTTTCCG